GCCTGCCTGCCTGATCACACCTAACCACTTGCCTGCCTGCCTGATTGCCCCTAATCACTCTGCCTGCCTGCCTGATCACACCTAACCACTTGCCTGCCTGCCTGATTGCCCCTAATCACTCTGCCTGCCTGCCTGATCACACCTAACCACTCCTGCCTGACTGATCGCCCCTGACCCCTCTACCTGCCTGCCTGACCACCCCTAACCATTCGTCTGCCTGCCTGATTTCCCCTAACTGCTCACCTGCCTGCCTGATTGCCCCTAACAGACTCTGCCTCAGCCCCCGCCATGGCAGCTTCTTCTGGAATGATGTCTGGAAGGTCGTTTGGTTGTCTGGTCTAATTAGCATATTACGCTTTTATTATTATAGATTTTCGGGCCATACAAAATAGTCAAATTAAAAATTAGCCTCCTGACCGGTTTGGCTCAGTGGATAGAGTGTCGGCCTGTGGACTCAAGGGTCCCAGGTTCGATTCCGGTCAGGGGCATGTACCTTGGTTGCGGGCACATCCCCAGTGGGGAGTGTGCAGGAGGCAGCTGATCGATGTTTCTCTCTCATCGATGTTTCTAACTCTCTATCCCTCTCCCTTCCTCTCTGTAAAAAAACAATAAAATATATTTTAAAAAAAAATGTTCATCTGTGAGATTCCGGTTACTGCCACAGTGCCTATCTCCCTCAGCTCTTACACCCACCTCCCAGGGCAGAGACCAACCATCATCCAGAACCGCTGGAAAGCTGGCTGAATGGAAGTCCTACAACTAGAGAAGAAGAAAGCACACTGAGATTGGTAAGAGGTGTGGACGCGTGGAGGGGGCTGGTCCAGCACCCACGTGTGCTGCTATTTTAATCTAGAGGGAGATCATCCCTGTGGAGGCTGCCCGGAGGAGTAAGGGGTCCCAGCCCCACACCAGACGCACAGCCCAGGGTCCCAGAGCTGGGAAAAGAAATCCCTATGGGCAGTAAGATCTACCGGCTGTAAAAATCAGTGTAGATTGGGGCTGAGTGACACACAGGCTGCTGGAGACCCAGCTGCTCCTCTTAAAAGGCCAGAACTACGAACTGAATTTACAAGCTCCCACTTCCTCTGAGCTCCAGTGCCGGGCGAGGCTCTGGGGGATCCAGACACATATGACTGTCTGGCATTGGAGCAGAAACTCTGGGGTGGCTTTCTTCCAGATGGAGGTGCTCTCAGTGGTCATTGTTCTCGTACTGAGACCTCCTTGGTTGCAGAGCTGACTGGCAGCCATTTCCATTTGCTCTGCCCTGGTGATTGCCTGAGACCCTGCCCCACCCAATTTACAAGCCCACCCAAGCTGTGGGCAAAGGCTTTTGCATATGAATGGCCTGTCCTTTCTCAGGCTAAAAACTTGTCAACAAGCTGCACCTGGGTCAGGGAGCACCAAACGTATCAATAAAAGGCCCAAGGCCCAGCACCAACACCAGCCTGCCTTGCTTCACAGCTGACTCTTGTCTGGGCACTTCAAAACCCGATACAAAGAGGAGGAATCTGCAGATCTCTCTGTAGCTCCTGCTGGGTGGCCCCAGGCAGTGGCTGACTTTGCATCTCCCTGGAGAGCCAAGAGCCAGTGTACCCAGTGGTCAGTGTGAGACCATACCAGATTAAAACTCTTTATATCTATAACTGACACACTCAAGAGGCAGACTTAGTGAGCACCAAACCCCACTGAAGCAAGTCCTGTTCCATAAGGGTGTCTCCTGCACAGCAGCTCTCTCACGGTAGTCGCAGTTGGTCTCCACAGCCAATTGACCTGGAGGTCAATTCCTCCCAGTGACACCAACAGCAATCAAGGCTCAACTACAACAAGAATGTGCACACAGCCCACAAAGGGGTGCACCTAGAGTGTCCAACTCAGGATACTGGGGAGGCTGAGCCACTGGGCCCTATAGGAAACCTACTACACAAGGCCACTCTATTAACTCAAGGAGACTTAGCAGCTCTACCCAATACATAGAAACACGCACAGGGAAGCAGCCAAAATGTTGAGACAAAGAAACATGTCACAAATGAAAGAAATGGAAGAAAGCAAACTACTGGATACAGAGTTCAAAACCACAGTTATAAGGTTACTCAAGAATCTTCTAAAAACCTCCAAGGCACTTACTGAGACTTTCAAGGATCTTAGTGAGGATGCCAAAAAAAATGGAAAAGGACCAGTCAGATATAAAGCATACACTGACTGAAATAAAGAATAATATAGAGGAATTCAACAGTAGACTAGAGGATCCCGAGAATCAAATCAATAATTTGAAATATGAGGAAGCAAAAAACACCCAACCAGAAGAGCAAAAAGAAAAAAGAATCTAAAAATATGAAGATAGTGTAAGGAGCCTCTGAGACAACTTCAAGCATATCAACATCAGAATTATGGGAGTGTCGGAAGAAGAGGCCAAGGGCAAAAGACAAAGAGAGAAGCTTAAAAGCAGCAGAGAAAAGCAATTAGTTACCTACAAGGGTGTGCCCATATGACTGTCAGCTGATTTCTCAACAGAAATTATCCAAGCCAGAAGGGAGTGGCAATTAACATTCAAAGTGATGCATAGCAAGAACCTACAACCACTACAACCAAGATTACTCTACTTAGCAAAGCTATCATTTAGAATGGAAGGTCAGATAAAGAGCTAAAGGAGTTCATCACCACCAAACCAGTATTGTATGAAATGCTGAGGGGTATTCTTTAAGAAGAGGAAGAAGAAGAAAAAGCTAAAGATAAAAAATATGAACAACAAAGTGGCAACAAATACATGTCTATCAACAACTGAATCTAAAAAAATCAAATGAATAAAAACTCTGATGAACAGAATAAACTGGTGAATGGAATAGAATGAGGGGCATGGAAATGGGACAGATGATTCTCAGAGGGAAAAGTGTGTGGGGGTGCAGGGAAGAGATTAGACAAAGATCTTATATGCATTTATGCATTACCTATGGACACAGACAATAGGGTGGCGAGGGCCTGGGGTGGGGTGGGAACCGGGTAGAGGGGAGCTATTGGGGGGGAAAAGAGAGACCACTGTAATAATCTCAACAATAAATATTAATTTAAAAATAGCCTGCTATATTTGGTTAAATATTTAATTAACTCACCCCTAATGCCTCCGCAGGGACAGATCATATGCGGGCCTTATACAGCTAGAGGGCTGGACGTTCCCCACCCCTGGTTTATGAGCAAGGACACTATATGCCCTGTCTCTCAATTTGAGTACTTTCTACATACCTTTGTAGCTTGCATATCACCAAGCACAACATGGGCCTGAACTGCATGGGTCCACACATAGGAGGAATTTTTTCAATAAACAAAATTGGCCCTTCCTATCTGCTGGTTTTGCCCTAGAACAGCGGTTCTCAACCTGTGGGTCGCGACCCCTTTGGGGGTCGAACAACCCTTTCACAGGAGTCGCTTAAGACCATCGGAAAACACATATATAATTACATATTGTTTTTGTGATTAATCACTATGCTTTAATTATGTTCAATTTGTAACAATGAAAATACATCCTGCATATCAGATATTTACATTACAACTCATAACAGTAGCAAAATTACAGTTATGAAGTAGCAGCGAAAATAATTTTATGGTTGGGGGTCACCACAACATGAGGAACTGTATTAAAGGGTCGCGGCATTAGGAAGGTTGAGAACCACTGTCCTAGAAGATTCAACCAAGGGGATGGAAAGCACTATTTTTGCATTCCCAAATGCAGATTCCCCACTGCGGATTCCCAACAGTGAAACAAAAATACTGTTTTCAATTTCAGGTTGATTGAATTCACCAAAGTGAAGGGCCACTTTAAGAAACAACATGATAGGCAGATTTTCAACTACGTGGGGGATAGGCACCCCTAACCTTCCAAGTTGTTCAAGAGTCAACTGTGATAGAACCTATATGAAAAATAGAAAAAAATCTAAAATGGAGGTAATTATTTCTAAATATTCCACACATACACAATATTCTAGTGTCTTTCTCTACCCTCCTATTAACTTTTTTCCTTCAAGGTTTTTTCTGTTGTTGACTGAGGAATGCTTATTACCTTTTCTAATTTCTCTCACCTATTGTGTTCATCTCACCACCAATTGCAACTTTCAACTTTTTATCTGGTAAATGATTTCATTTTCCTTTTGTTTTTCTCAAATTATTTTTATTTGGGTAACAAATGTATGTCAGATCCTCATTTGATGAAAAACACAGCAACAACAACTATGCTTGCAATGTATTATTGGAAAATTTTATTTAATGCAATACAAGTCCATTCACCCCTTAATCTGTTAATATGAGAAATCAAACCCATTATCTTATTTCTTTGCATTTTTTAAAGATTTCAAGTCCTAAGAAGACAAGAGCACTTTATTTATGTACTAGGGGCCAGGTGCATGAATTCATGCACGGGTGGGGTCCCTCAGCCTGGCCTGTGCCCTCTCTCAATCCAGGACCCCTCGAGGGATGTTGGACTGCCGGCCTGTGGGGATCAGGCCAAAACCGGCAGTCCAACATCCCCCGAGGGATGTAGCAGTGCCGAAGCAGCAGGCGGCCAGGGAGGAACCCTAGCCGGGGCTGGGCACCCCTCCACTCCCGCTCCCCGCCACCCACCGCCTGCCACCACTGCAGCTGTGCTTGTCAGCCATGAGCCCGGCTTCTGGCTGAGTGGTGCTCCTGCTGTGGGAGCACACTGACCACCAGGGGGCAGCTCCTGCATTGAGCGTCTGCCCCTGGGTGGTCAGTGCATGTCAGAGCGACCAGTTGTTCTGGCCAACTGGTTGTAACGGTCACTTAGGCTTTTATATATAGAGATTCTGTGCAACAATATAGAACATAGGACTTTCATTGGAAACCTATAACTATAGTGAAAATAACGATCATAGTAATAGAGTGTATTCTAGTCATGAAAATAGGGCCTTACTTTCAAACAACAGGGATGGCACAAGTAGAGGAGATGGGGAATTATCACAGTCATATAAAAGTGAATTAAATAACTTTTATTACCTTAGTTTCTTTCCTCCATCGGCAATTTTAGCTTTTTGAAGATAACCTTCTTTTTCAACCATCTGCAAGAAGAATGCATATGTTAAAACTGTGACAAACTCCCATGCATTATTAGTTTAAATGAACCTATGCTTTCCAAAAGTCATTGTAGTGATAGAAGTTTCCAGTCATAGAACTTCATTAATAATGCATATATAGCTTATGGGAAGTGCCTGCAAGATGATAGTCATTACAAGCCCTTAAATATCCAAAAGAAAGATTACAAAGAGTAATGTGAATGATTTGTTACATGGTGATACACCTTTACTTGCTTTTCCTTCTGGGCATTGAAGTAACTTGCTTGCAAAATTGATTAACAACAGTAAAACAAAGACAAATTTGATGCTCTCCTTAATTTTACTGATCATGCTTGGAAAAGTTCTTTTGTTTTTTATTCCTCACCCCCACTTCCTCATGAACCTGCTGAGGCCAGGGATCTAGAAAAATTCAATGGAGCCAGGTAACTGAGTCATGTGAACCATGGAAGGACATTTAAAACAGTGACATTGCATGTATTTTGTTGTTACCAAGATATGCTGTGTAACACCATCCCACTAACTTCTTCTATAATGTGGGTTTGTTTCCTTTCCTGTTTGTATGTATTTGGCTCTCATTACTTGTACATCAGCAAGATTCTTAAAGGAGATTCACTAATTTTTTATAACACCACAGAAGTTTTGTGGAGTTCTAGGGTAATAAATGCATCATGCAAATTGTGATCTAGTGACTCCCAGAAAAGTCTATAATAAGTGTTTTAGTTTCAACCAATATGTATTTTTTTAATATTGGTATTGATTTCAGAGAGGAAGGGAGAGGGAGACAGAGATAGAAACATCAGTGATGAGAATCATTGATTGGCTGCCTCCTGCACGCCCCCTACTGGGGATCAAGCCTGCAACCCGAGCATGTGCCCTTGACTGGAATCGAACCTTGGACCCTCCAGTCTGCAGGCTGACGCTCTATCCACTGAGCCAAAACAGCCAGTGCTGTTTTAGTTTCTTAACATTCTATTTCTACCTTCCCCTTGTTTCACACACCTCCATTCTATGAGCTTACCTTGTGCTCCCTCTTTTCATCTTGATGAATTTCTGACACCTTCTCTCCCATGCTATATGATAAAAGATTTAAGAAGTCACCTGCCTGCCCTACCAGCGTGGCTCAGTGGTTGAGCATTAACCTATGAACCAGGAGGTTGCTGGTTTGATTCCTGGTCAGGGCACATGCCCAGGGTTGTGAGCTTGATCCACAGTAGGGGGTGTGCAGGAGGCATCCGATCAATGATTCTCTCTCATCATTGATGTTTCTCTCTCTCCCTCCCTCTCCCTTCCTCTCGGAAATCAATAAAAATAAAAAAGAAGTCACCTGCCTAATATTGAAGGACCTCACTCAGTGACACCCTAGACGCTTTCTTCTTGCTGTAATATTCCACCTCCACCAGGCCTTCCTCTAACGAATTCCTAAACGTGTGACATCTAATTTAAAATGCGATGTGTCTGTTAGAGTTTCCCCATGATTCCTCTGCAATCTCTTTTAGGGGCCCCTGTCCTGAATCTCCATTTCCATTCTGCCATTGTCACTATCATAGCTTTTATGGGATTGTTTTTAATGGTCCACTTACTCGCTTGTGTCTGCACCTGTGCTGTGACTTTACCTTTCTGACCTGGATTCCCAGAACCTAGAGTCCTGGATGGCACCAAGAGTCACAATAATAAATACTGTTTGATCAAATGAGTGAATGAATAATGGACTGTTTAAATTTTTATTTAAATCGTTATAGGAACCTGGAAAAGCCAAGAAATTCAATCTGTATTGTGACAGATGAAAGGAAGAGATATTTGACAATGAGTTGTCCCAAACCACTGAAATTTCACCAGTTAAAGAATTGGCTGTTTACAGACCCACTCTGATCTAGGCAATATCTTTTCTCACTTGTTCATTATTACACTCCTAATACAAAGTACAGTACTTAACCTTCAAAAATATATTAGAGAAGATTTTTGAATAATGATTAAGATAATTGTGATGATTTATGATAATCATAGTAAAGAATTTTTCACATATCAACATTTCCAGAAAATGCTTTTTACTTCAGCATGCTCTCCACAGGGTAAAAGAGTCTAAGAAAGCTCTCTTGCACAATTTTTAGAATCATGATGCTCATTAGTGACTTTTTTATACTTGGATACATCTATTCATTTGCTTTCCCCACCTTTTATTCCATGTATACTGTTCCCTTTTCTTGGTGCCAAGGAATCTTATTTGTCTACCCACTAAAACCCATATAATAAGTTCAGTGTGTAACTCTGGGTAGCACTGGTTTCTACAAATGCCTGAAAGAAGGATGTTTTCAGTAGCAATTAGCATCACAGAGGAGGTCCCTTTCTTTATGAATGTATATTGAGAAATTTTGTTGTGTAACCATAGACAAAATTTGTTTTACTTAAGCTTTCGTCTGATGAAAATAAAATTTACCAAAAGCCTGAATTTATCTACCAAAAAGCCACAAAACCTCTCTACCCATCAGAAAAATTGATGCATGCTTTCTCAGCTAAGAATATACCCTTCCTTACCCCAAAAATATTCACTAAAAGGCCACTGGGTAGACCAGATAAGTGTTTTGTTGATCATTTCTCAAAAAGAGGAATGTGAAAGGCAAAAGTTAATACTCATGCAGGGGGGAAATCAACATAAGCAGGCTAAAATTATTTACCTTAAAATTCCATCTCCTTGAACACATAAGCTATGTTCTTCCAGAAACTGCTGGGCCTTTCTTTTCAAGGTACCTTAGATTAGGGCCAGGGTCTGTATATCTCATGTTAGAACTCTATACATTTGACTTAATTGCCATTAAACAGGCTGAGCCATTTCCCATGGTCTTGAGTCAATGCATTACAGTTGTCAGGTATAACCGCAAAGAGGTCCGGGAAAAAGGAAAGAGGAAGGGGTAAATGGCAATTTAGTAATATTTTCCTATATCTTCCAAAATCCAGGCTGCCTTCAGTGTAATAAGAAGAAGCTAATCATCCTTTTACTGTGTACTCTTACCTACAATACTTACTATTACTAGTGTGCACATTTTTACATATCTACAAGTATCTGCATGAATGTTTCTACATGTAGTTATATACATGTACAGACATCATGCACACATTCTCACTTCTGGAAAGTGTTCATTTATCCTCATTGTCTCTTTATATTTATCTACAGTCATTCATTCTTTCAACCAATTTTCAAGTTAAAAAAAAAAGAAAGAAAACCTTCCCCTTCAATACAGCTGCTATGTTCACCCTGTTTTGCTTTTAAGGGGAATGGATACCATAATCCCCTCCAGCCACCTCAGACACTTAGGCCAGCTTTTGCCCTGGAATAGAAAACTCCAACCAGGCTTCCAACACAGAAAGCACTGCCTTATTTTAAGTCCCATTCTGGCAAGCGAATATTTTATGAGGTAGATTTTAAATTACTTTAGTAGTCCTTGTCATCATATTTTGAAATGTCTCACTATGTTTTAGGCACCAAGAATCAATTATTCTGGGAGGCTCATAGGAGCTGGCAGAAGTATTAGGTCAAGCAAAAGATTTCCATGTATTTTGCATGTAGGTTTATACATGGTACCATACTAATTATTCTAATTATTTATTCCTAACTTATGGTCATGCCATGGTTTGAAAGGACAATGATACATAAATTACAGTTGAGTATGTTGGTCATCTAGGACTCAGGTGGTCTTATCTCTAGTAATATATAAAATTATATATAGTTTTAGGTCTAAGTTGAGGATATCATAATGCCAAGTTCTGGGCCAACTTGAAGGTCTTTAAGATAGTAACACTCCCTAAATTATGAATACTTAACAAATGTCAACCAATCTTTAGATGCTGAATCTGGCTTCTTGAGCTATTTGTCCAACGTCCCATAGAAATCCTATTTAATGCTAAGTGGCAGGAAAGATCAGCAATTTGTCTAGATTGGATGCCAGCCAGTCTTCTAGCATTGAGGACATACTCAGTAGACCAAACTCTGCTCAAATACAGATGAAAAGAATGCATGGTAGTAGGATATCCAGATAGCACCGGTTTATCAACCTTAGTTGGAGGTGAGAGACAAGGCAGGAGAGCAGAAGACGATCTCTGATTAATGTAACACTTGTGGCAGAAAGACCAGCCTACACTCATAAGTATAGACACTGCAATTTTTTATGTGAAGTCTCCACGTTGTTCTCAGATAAAGAAGTAGAATTGAAAACAATAGGTTTTCATCAGCACCAGTACACCAAAAGAGTCCTGTCAAAATACATGTTGATAAAAGGAAATGAACTGGATCTAAGGACTTTCACCGGATTTTGATGAGGAAAACTTGGCTTTCAACACCAGAACCACAAAGCCCTTACTCCTTATAACATTTACTCAGCTATTGTATTTAAGTCATTCTTCTTTTTCCCCTTTGTTCTGATTCTGTGTTCACTGGCAACACTCTGACTCCTAAATCAACTTCCTAGGTCCTTTGATGTAGAATGTGGGTGCCTAAAATAGTCAGAATATCCATTACATAAATTTATAAATCAAAATTATAGTTTATACATCAGACTTACAATTTGGTTACTAGTAGACAGTCCCTAGGGATCATTATCTCTCTAAGCCCTGATAACTTTGATAAATATAATTTTTTTAGACCCAAAAAACTGAGACAGCCCTAAACTTGTGAGGGCCATTCAAAATATTGCCACTCTGTGAATCCGTCTCTGATGGACTGCCCTGCTCCAGGAGAACTATGCCTCATCTTTCTGTAACTACAACACCAGGCTACTGTAATTGTCAAACAGATTTAGAATTTATTTTCCTATTTAATTATGAGGCACTTACTATATTTTTTCTGAACTTTTAATAGCTCTCAGTACTTTTCTGTTAATTTTGTTTGATTTTATAGTCCTAATATATAAAGAGTCAGGGGCCATCACGATCTAAACGTCCGGACGGACAATCAAACACCAGGCTAGGGTCCTGGCCGGCAAGGTGGAAGTCAG